CTGAGAAAGTCACCCCGCGGTGCAGGGCTGAGTGACTGCGCATGTCCACGGCAGTGACTTCTGATGAGGAATTGTTATCTAAGTGTGCAGCCATCCAGGCTGCTGGGAGGAAGGGTCTGGAGAAGCGCGCTGGACACCCATCTGAGCGGTCCCTGCGGCCTGCCCTCGAGTGCCCCAGTGGAGACCTGAGCCCCAGCCCAGACAGCCTGCGGGCTGCCAAGCCAGCCAGACCCGCTGCGGGCCGCCCACTTGGACTGCGCTCTGCCCTCCAGACAGGGCCCGGTTCACCTCCACTGCTGCCAAAGCCCTGCTGGAAATACGTGCCAGGCCAGCCACGTTGGGAAAGGGTGACAGCGGGCGCCCGCCTCCTCGCAGATGAGGCTCAGTGTCCCCAGGAAACAGCTCTTCCCTGCAGGGCGGCCTGGGAAGATGCCGGCCAGGTTGGCTGCGCCCAGCCTAGAGCGCGGAGTGCCACTGCGCCAGGGGCCAGGCTTCCAAACAGCCAGCAACAGGCTCTTGCCTGGTGTTCTGGCACCAGCGTGCAGCCCGACGCCTCCCCGCTAAGCGTGGGCACTGCCGCTCCCCACCTGCCTGTGCGGAAGGGGCGGGTGGGGCTTCTCCGCCACTGAGCGGCGCACACCTTGTTGCCAGGCCGCAAAACTCGTTTCTGGTCTACCGGACCCGGCTGCCAGTCTCCGGCCGGCCCGGCTTCTAGGTCTCACACCTGAGCCCCACCAGAAGGTGCTGCACACCTGTGCAAACAGTCACCACCTCCGCCTCACGGGTTCCGGCCCAGAAGGTGCTGGGCGTGGGACTGAACGTCCGCGTTTCTCCCGGGGTCCCGGGTGCTGCCCCTGGCCTGGGGAGCCCATTTTGGGAACCACTGCCTTAGACTCTCACAACCCGTCTTCTTCCCTCGTCATGACCCAGGGCTCCCCAAACCCCAGGCCTTCTCACCCCTTCCCACGTTTGCCCACCCTCCTGCATCTACCTGTACTCGTGCCTACTTTGCATTTTTACTTAAGCGGGCCTGCTTTTTGGAGTTCCAAGAAATTTAATTTTTTTTTTTTGTTTTGGTTTTTGAGACAAGGTCTTGCTGTGTAGCACATGCGGGCCTTGAACTCGTGGCAATCCTCTTGCCTCAGCCTCCCAAGGGCTGGGATTACAGGCATGTGCTTTCCAAGAAATTTACTTCAGAAAGGTCACCGTCTAGTCCTGCCACTGGCAAGGAAACCTGGTCCTCTCTGCAGGGAAGGGAGACAGGAGTAAAACCAGACACAACGGGCCCAGGGCAGCCTCCACCTGCCAGCTGGACACCAGGCAGCTCGTGGCTGTGTCTGGAAGGGCGAGCAGGGTGCTGGAGGGCGTCAGGCAGAGGACCAACGGGGGCCTATCCGTCCCCATAAGCAGAGGGGCGGTGGGGTTCGCTGGGGGCTGTGCACACGCTCAGGTACCTCTCTGGGCTGTGCTACTCTCCGCCCAGGGCTGCAGCTCAGCGCGCCTGCCGGGGGATCCCTGCCACTCGACCACCATGCCCAGACCCAGGCCTGCTCCCCACCCCCCACCCCCACCCCCACTCCTCTTTCCCTGCCACCAGTGCCCCTCTCTGTCCTAGGTGGCCCTGGGTCTCAGCACCCAGATGCGTCCAGGCACCAGCTCCCGGCCCCAGAGAGCCGATGGGGGCTCTCCTTAGTCACAAGCGCCTGGGGTAAGGCCAGTTCCGGGCTCCCAGGGCTGCAGGCACAAAGCAAGTGTGACCCTCCTTCCCCCAGAATCCCGCCCTCTTGCTTTCAAAATGGGATGCCGCCCAGGAATTGAGATTGAAAATACGGGATTTCGTAATTTACAATTTTTTTTTTCAAAAGATGGTCAAGAAGTTGCAAAATCCTTCGTCAGGCCTTTCCCCCTCTGATTCTGTGGTTTTGTCTAAGCTGACGCAGGCCTCAAAACAACCAGAGATAAATCGCCCTTGGCTGGACCACAGTGTCCTCACCCTTGGGGAGCGTCAGGCAGAATCCCCACCGTTGCAAGCCCAGCCAGATACGGGGCAGGGCCACATCCCACACGGCGTTCCCGGCCAGCTGCTGCTGTAGGGCAGATGCCGGGTCCCCTGCACCATGGTGGGGGCCGCGGCACATCCTGGAGTGGGATCCTCGGAGCTGAGCTTCCTCAAGAAGAAAGCCAGCAAAAGAGAGCACAGGTCAGTCACCTCTGACCCAGCAACTCCACTCCTACGGACATGCCCAAGAGGAATGAAAGCAGATGTCTACACAGTCTTGCACCCAGATGTTCAGAGTGGGGCGATTTATAATAGCCAAGGGTGGGAGACAGCCATGCTCCTATTAACGAAGGTATAGGCAACAGTGTCCTAGCTATACAGTGGAATACTATTCAGCCATGAAAAATAAATGAGGTTCTCATATATTCTCTATATACTGTTATATACCATAAAGTAGACGAGCCTTGGAAACATGATACTGAGTAAAAACATCCAGACACAAAGACCGCACACTGTATGACTGATACACGCAATGTCCAGAACATGCAAATCCAGAGAGACAGGGCAGACTGCCAGGGGTGGGAATGAGACTGGCTGGTCCTGGGTGCAGGATTCCTTCACGGCATGACGGAAATGTCCCGGAACTACGTAGTGGGAGTGGTCACACACCACTGCAAAACACTAAGTGCCCTCGCTGTGTACTTCCAAGTGGTTAAAATGGTAAATTTTATGTTCATGCGAGTGGTACCACAATAGATATTTTCCAAAAAAACACAGCTCATCTTGCCCCCCTCCCGCCCCCGCCCACCGCGTGACGGCCGGACTCTGTCTGCCCAGAACACAGCGTGCTCTGCTTGGACTTTACAAGGCGCTCCGAGTCCCCAGCCCTGGAAGTCCGGGCACCCACTGAACTCAGCGAGTCGGAGACGCAGTGAGGTGAGATCACGCCCCTCTGCTTTCTCTTCCTGACAGCCTCGGCCCCTCCGTGACGCTGTTTGCACATCTGGGACTCATCAAAAACCAGGGAGATTGCAAAAAAAAAACCCTCCTGCGCCAGAGCAGCAGACAGGGAGGCACCTCCCGGAGGCAGCAGCTGAGGCTGGTGACGGGGCGGGGAACCGGGCAGCTTCCTCGGGGCTGAGGAATCAGGGCCGGGGTCTGGCCATGGACACATGTCACTTGTCACCTCCACCCTGGGGTTCCTGAGGGATGGCCCCGGGCATTAAGTAGCTCTGCGCTACCCTCTGCCCTCCAGCTCTCCCCAGCCGGAGCCGGCACGTCCGGGCCAGCACTGACCTGAGCCTCTACCTGTCCCCAGCTGAGCCCAAGCTCCGGGTCAGCACACTCCTCCCCGGGCTGGAATCCCTGATGACGCACAGGCCTGTCACTGGTAGAGCACCTTCCTAATAAGCCTGACAGGTGCTGCCAGGATGGAGCCCTGTCTGCCCCAGCCTTGCGCACTGGGCGCAGCCTGGGTCGCCCTGAGCCTCAGGGTGCTCCTCTGAACAAGGCCACCTCCAGTGACAGCTTCCTGAGCACCCCGGGCACAGCTGCCCAGTGAGTGCCAGGCGAGTCATCGCGGTGCTGTTGTGAACACCGTTACAATTCCCACTCTGATGCTGCAGGGCACTGTGGGAGTCAAGATGTCCCATTCGGTCTTCTGTCTGCGTGCAGCACCCAGCTGCTTTACCTGAGCTCCTTTCCAGCTGAGCAACCCCAGATCAAAGGCCAGCGTGAGAGGTGGGGTTGGCGGCAGGCAAAGACTGGTCTTAGAAGAGGCAGGACCCAGAGGCCAAGACCCCCCTGGGTGACAATGCCACACACCAGCTGGGGCACCTTGGGCAAGCACTGCCCTTCGCTGGGCCTCGGTTTCTCCAACTGCCCAGGTGTGCTGCAGGTGCCCTGGGCACTCGGGCCTTGCACCTGCCACAGCTGCAATCCAGCTGGCACCTCCTACTCCTCCCCGCGTGCAGACAGCCAGATGTGGGCAGAGCAGGACATCGGATGCCTTCAGTACGGAGCACCCCGGGCACGCATTCGTCCTGGGCACGGTCAGACTCCAGACCCTGGATGCAGGTGGTGGGCTCCCCACACCCATGGGGCAAGGAGTCTGGAGGCTCAGAGTGGAATTCACACCCACTCTCGGTTGCCGGCTGACCTGGGCATTTACACAGCCTCCTTCCTACAGGATTCTCTCTGCAGACCAGCAACGCACCTTTAGACTGAAACATGGCCAGGCACTTGCCGAGCCCCTCCTGGTGTGCCCACCGGCCAGCCCTGCGCAAGGCGGCTCTGCATCTGCTGGCCTAGTGCTCTCCATCCGGGGCACAGACCACCCCCAGGACCCAGAGCGAAGCCTCGGCCCCAGCCCAAGTCTCCCCACTCGCAGTACCCACTCCGGCTAAGGAGACCCGAAGCGAGCTGCCTGGCACTGCAGGAACTGCCTGCCCCACACCTGGACGAGCCCCTGAAGCGTCGGCAGCGGCAGAGCCGGGCTCCAGCCCTGGCTCTGCCCTGGACTCTCCATCTGGAATGTGGGAGAAGTCACTTCGCTGGTTTGTGGCGAGTGGAACTGCAAGGGGCGTGGCCCTGTGACCTGCACAGGAGTCCACTGCCCTGACTGCCTGGCCCCCACACGTGGGCCAAACTCTCCAGCCTGCCACAGGTTCCCTCAGCGTGCAGGAACGTCAGCCAGGGCGCACAGGACCGCCACACACCCTAGTGCGCCGACAAGAACAGCAAAGCGGCGTTCTCCGGGGAGCCCACTGTGCCCACGGGGACTGCGATGCCAAGGAGGCTCGGCGGCTTCCTGACCCAGAAGCTTGGCCACCGTGCCTCAGTTTCCCCATCTGTAAAGGGCAGGCCTCAAAGCACGGCTTTTGCGCGGTGGGAGAGCCCTCACCACGGTGCCCGCCACGCTGCACGCAATGGCATCCCCTCTGGCTCTTGGACATTAGGGACAGTGGGTCGCAGCTTGCTCCGAACGAGAGGAATCACTTACCTCCGCGGGCTCCGACCACACCTCGCGGCGTCTCCCGTGTGCAGCAGGGTCTGCACGGGCACGGCAGGCTCGGCCGGCTCGGCGAGTGAGGCGAGGACCGGGACGCGAAGCTCCAGGCTCGCCGAGGGCTGGGAGTGGGGAGATACGGGGGCCGCGCACCGAAACTTGTAGACCTCGGAGAGCCCCGCGGCCGCACCCCCCATGGGGACCCGTGGCGCTGATTGGGCCGCGCCGCCCCGGCCCCGCCCGAGGCCCCGCCCCTCCCGAGGCCAGGCTGGCGCAGGGAGGCGCGTGCGCGGTGGCGAAGGGCCGCGGGTCCCAGCGGGGCCGGCAGGGAGGGAGAGCTGGGCTTCTTGCCTTGACCATAAAAGTCGTTTTCATTGAGCGCCTTCCGGATCCCGTTCTCTGCAGCTCAAGTGGAGGAGAAGGCTCGGGAAGCGACCTCCAGGACTGTAGCGCACGACATGAGCTGGGGCGCGGGCTCCGAAAGTGGCGCTCACTCTTGGGCGTGTCCACAGGAGCCCTGCAGGGGCAGTGGCCCCACTGTGCGGTCTGGAGCCTGGAACGCCGGGCCGAGCCGAAGCCCGTGCACTTTCACCTGTGCGGGAGCTCCCGCGCAGAATCTGGGGTCAGAAATCACCTTTGCAATGCGTAACTTGGAGTCCTTTGGGGTCCTGGAAGACACTGAGGCCAGAGGAGCAAAGGGACACCCTATGTTCCCTCTCGGCCACGTAATGAGGCCCTACTGTGTGTGGGCCTGGTACTAGTGCCCAGGGCACCGGAGCCGGTCCCCACGGCTCATCCCTGCTGGAGCACTGGCACTGACCCTAGTGCCCTCCGAGCCCTGCTGCGTCCTGTACAGCGTGAGCAGGTGCAGGCACCTTCCAGGCTCAGAGTCCGGGCACTCACATGGGTCATCACATAAGGGGACACAGGGATGGGGACATGGGCTCAAGCCAGAAACTCTGGCCCGAGACGTTGGAGCGGGTGTGTGCACACAGACAGCCGCGCGGCCCTCTAGCTGCCGCTGTTTCCCGCTCCCTTTGGAAGCCCCAGCCAGCACCCGCTCCCCTACACTGACCACGCTCCTGCTGTGCCCTGCACTGCTCCACAGCCAGCCCTGGGCTTGGCAAAGGATGAACCCACGGAGAGGAGGGAGGATAACAGCCACCCCTCAGGCCACGTGCCTGCCCCCTGGCCACACGAGGCAGCAGATGCCGGACACGAGGCACTTTCCGGAGGCCACGGCGCTCCGAGGAGGTGGAGCTGGGATTTGAGCTCATATTTTTGCTGGCCGGGTTGCCACTGCCTGTGACCAGTAAGCGGCAGGGACAGGGGGGGCAGAATGAAGTGGGTCTTGGCTCCACACCCAGCCAGCGGGGGGAGCTGTGAAGGCTGGATTCCTCACAGGCCCATCACTCGGGTGGGGCTCGGAGGGTGATAGCAATGGAATGTCCACAGCTCTGCGCCTTGACCTCTGCCTTCCTGAAGACGCTTAAAGATTTTTCAGTACTGAGGACTGAACCCCGGCCGTCACGCTAAACAATACTTTTTTTATTTTACTTTTTAATTTTGAGAAAGGGTGTTGCGAAGTTGCCCAGGCTGGGCTTGAACTTGTCATCCGCCTGCCTCAGCTTCCAGAGTGCTGGAATTACAGGCATGTGCTTCCACAGCCAGCTTAAAGATGCTTTGTATGACAAGCCTGCAGGCTGCTTGCCGGCCCAGGCTGGCTCTGGGGACACCACTGGCAGAGGTGGAGCCGGGGGCCACTAGCCCACGAGCCTGTCACCCCTGGCTGTGCTGCCGAGTCCCCTCCAGCAGGCGGCTGCTGTCCCAGCTGCAGGGCCTTGAGACCCTCACTTCTCCCTGCCCTCCTGCCCGCTTTCCTCTCCTGCTGTGGCTTTGCATCCTCCTGCCCAGCGCCCGTGGACTGCTATCTATGCTTGGGCTTCAGGGCTTCCACCTTCCGGCCCAGCGGGAAGAGGGGAAGACTGAGGCCCGGGCAGGTGGAGCCCTGGGCTGTCCCGGTGGGCTCGGCAGTCTGTGTTGGAGCCGCTGCAGTGGCCAATGTGTGCGTCTCCCTACATCCCTGTGTCCCAACCTAATCTCCACGGTGAGGGCTCTGGGAGGTGGTGTTGGGAGGTGAGGAGGGCCTGTGGGCTCTAGGGGGGGACTGGCCCTTCTCCTCCTACCAGGGAGCACAGGGCAAGGGGCGCTGTCTGAACCGGAAAGCAGACCTCGCCGGACGCCAGGCCTGCGGCGCCTGACCCTGGACGTCCCAGACTCCGCAGCTGTGAGAAGGAAAGTCTCCCATGACTAAGCCGACCACGTGGCAGTATTTTGTTATCACAGCCTGAAAGGACTGAGACAGTGTGTGACTTTGATCTCTGAACCATGCGGCCTTCAAACACAGGGAGTTTGGATTTGCTGCAGTAGGAGTCTGTTGGACTGACTGTCATTTGTCAGGATTTCAGGGGAGTCAATTAACAAGCTTCTCAGATGGGATGTTATGGCTAGTGCCGCTGGGTAACAAATGATACCGACATGTAGTGGCTTAGAACATCATTTTGTGTTGCCTTTAGCTTTGCAGGTCAGGAAGCCAGGACAGGCCCCTCCCATGGTGGCGCTGGGTGTTGCCTAGGGCTGTGATACTGAAAGACGTGACTAGGCTGGATGTCCATGCCAGTTCCCCACCAGCCGGGCATTCACCACCGGGGGTGGTAGGAGCTCGGCAGAGGCTGCTGCCTGTAGAGCCCCCGTGTGAGCTCCCGCCCGCGTGTGAGGCGGTCACACTCCCGGTGTGGTGGCTGTACAGCGGCTGACCCCCAGCTGGCCTCCTAGGAGGACAAGGGGAGACTCCTGGCTTTGTGACCCAGTGCTGGTCTGCCCTGCTGTCACTTTAACCACAGAGCCTGCCAGGCTCCAGGAGGGGACACAGACCACATCTCCATACAGGGAGGGGCCAAAGACTCCACAGACCTGTTTGAAAACCTCTCCAGGCCAGACGCGGTGGCGCACGCCTGTAATCCCACTGCTTGGGAGGCTGAGGCAGGAGAATGGCCTCACAAGTGTGAGGCCAGCTTGGGCTACAGAGTGAATTCAAGGCCAGCCTGAACTGCCTAGTGAGACCGTGTCCGAAAAATAAAAGTTTAAGTCCTGACTGCATCCCACCATGCTGTGTATCTCTGCTCAGCTCACCCAACCTCTCTGGGCTACAATTGCTTCCAGCTGGGATCACCCAAGCAAAGACAGCCCTGAGATTGCTGCCCAGCACCATTGTCCAGTTCAAACCCCAGCACCTGCATGTCCAAGCTGTGGGCCTTGGGCAAATCACACAGTCTCTGCTCAGTGCCCAGCTATAAAACGAAGGTTGTCTCTCTCTGTCCCTCTCCTTCCCGCTTTCTCCCTTAAAGCGTTACGTGATTAACTTATGGGAGATGCGGGGTGCGGGGTGCGGTGCCCGAGACGCACGGTGTTAGTATTATTGTCATATGTGCCAACAAAGCAAAGGAGAAAGAGAAGTTTCACTTTGATGAACTTTTCTATCACTTTGTAATCTCAGAGCATAGTTTCCAAAAAAAAAAAAAGCATTGGAATAAAATGGCCAGTCACAGGCTGCACAGACTCCTGGGAATTCCCAGAAGGGAAGGACCACGATGCGCGTCAGTGACCTCCTGGGAAGGGACCAGCTGCTCATGCCCCGGAGGTCCCAGCGACCCAGGCAGCGGGCTGGGTCATGGGACTGAGGCAAAGGGGAGCCCTTCTGGCCATGATGAGTCTCTGCCTGGAAAAAGAAACCTACAGGCCAGGAAGGACGTCATGCTGGGGCGCAGGCCTCTGCCACCCTCCCTTGGGACCACGGCAGCTGAGGGAGGGGCCGCGGCCTGCAGAACAGGGTGGGCAAGGGCCACGGCTGCCCGGTCCTGCGCTGTCCGAGCCGCGTCTGGAGGGCGGGTGGTTTTCGGCTCCTGACCCGACGCAGAGGGGAGGCAGACACTCCAGTTCCTCTTCGGTCCCTGCCACAGCTCAGAGTGACACTGGGCCCGGTGTGCGTCAGGTCTGTCTTCCGTTTCTCTGTCCTAACCTTGATGGCAGGAGGACGGGGCCGGGGGTGCAGGACTGAGGCTTTCCCTGGTGCAGAGCGACAGATGACTAGACGAGCGCCCTCTGAGTTCGCACTTTTAGTCTGGTTTCATTTCCTAATTTTTGTTTTTAAATAAATGGCAACTTGGCACAACTGGGCTGTGAACAAATCTCCAAGAGGATTCTAAAACTATGGAACAGCCGCAAGCTACATGCGGACAACTGGCATCTGCTTGCTTCTCCCCAGAAATGCCGCACTGCATGTATGCCTTCCCGGTGAGACTTCGTTCTCACACTGGTCTGTCCTTCCTGGTGCCCTCTGCTTTTAAAGGGTGCATATACTGAAAAACTTGTATGACTGTGTATAACGTGGAATAAAATAAAATACTAAAAGAAAGGCTGAAGTTGGGGACACACCCCCTGCGGACCATGGCTCGGAAAGACAATCGAAAAGGATGGGAAAGATGGGATGGCTTCCTGTGGCAGGGGCCAGCCACACGGCCCTCGAGCTCTCAGCGGGATCGGCCAGCTGGGGAGGGGCACGTGGGGGCTCCACCTTGCCCCTTGGCAGGAACTTTTGGGGGCAGCGGGGCGCTGCTGGTGGAGAGATCTACAGCAAGATCCTGAGCAGAGGCGAGCACAGAGGACTGCTCGGGTCAGCCCCGAGGGGAAGAGGCCGCCGGGAGGAGCCCGGGGCTGCGGAGTCCGAGGCCGCCCAGGCACCAGGAAGCCAGCAGAGCTGTTCTGGGCTGTGGCAGGGCCCCCGGAAGTCCTCTGTACCTCTCAGCCCCCTTCCTGCCGTTTCCCCTGAGCATGGCCGCCGCCACCAAGGAATTCGCAGGCCCTTTGTCCCAGGGGCTGGAGAGGCCTGTGCTTGCCACCTCCCTGCTCTGGTTCCCTGGAGGAAGAATCCGACTGGCTCCACCCCGGGGGCATCAGAGGGAGGCGAGGCGATGCTGACGTGGTGGCCTGGCGCCGTGAGCTGGGGACGCCTCAGAAGGCCATCAAGACGAGGATGATCCTCCGGAGTCCGTACAGTGTGTGGCACGGGCAGAGAAAGCCCAGGGCCTGGCACAGCAGCGTGGGTGGACAGTCT